CACGGACATAGAAAGGGAATGGACTCACTATTCTTGGGGGGGAAAGGGGTGTGGGAGATGCGGGAAGAGACTGGACATAAATAGTGCACCTATGGATGAGGACAGTGGGTGGGGAGTGAGGGCGGAGAGTGGGGTGGGAACTGGAAGGAGGGGAGATATGGGGGGAAAAAAGAGGAACAAATGTAATAATATGAACAATAAAGATTTAATTATAAAAAAAAACAAACAAAAAAAAGATTTTAGGTTGTCTCAAACTATTGTCTTCTGAAAACAGTACTGATCATTAAAAAAATAAGGTTACTAAGCCCTGACCAGTTTGGCTCAGTGGATAGAGTGTTGGCTTGCAGACTGAAGGGCCCCAGGTTCGATTCTGGTCAAGGGCATGTACATTGGTTTTGCGCACATCCCCATGTAGGGGTTGTGCAGGAGGCAGCTGATCGATGTTTCTCTCTATCCCTCTCCCTTCCTTTCTGTAAAAAAATCAATAAAATATATTTTAAAAATATAAATAAGGTTACTGAGAGAGTATTTTTTTAATGTCAGGCTCAGTAGGACTTGTTTTAAAGCAACATTTATTTCCTGTGAGATAATTTTGAGGAAAACTTTGCCTTATATTTGAGCATTTGCGACTATTACCATGTGACCTTACAGCACTCAGTTGAAAACAAAGTGTGGAAGATATTAAAATTTAAATATGTACCAGGTAAATCAAGCTAATTAACAGGACTGATTGTTAGCAGTATTTGAAAGAGCTGATAGAAATTTTGTAGGCATAAAAAATCTGAGACTACTGCCAATATATAGTTTTTACTACTTTTTATACTTGTCAAAATATTTAATGTCATAGTTTAAAGTATTTCTTAATTTTAATAAAATATTGTCAAGTGTTTTTAACTTTGCAAATGTATTTTTATTCATCAGTACTTGTAAGCAGAAGCTAGAGAGGCAAAGCATGAAAAAAAGCACAAGTCTGTGTTTTCTTTTTTAAGATTTTTAGTTGACCTTTAGAGCGAGAGGAAGTGAAAGGGAGAGAAATATGGATATGAGAGAAAAACATCAATCAGCTGCCTCCTGCATGCCTCCTACCAGGCATCGAGCCGGCCCTGACCAGAAATTAAAATGGCAACCTTTTGGTGCAACCAACTGAGCCACGCCAGCCAGGGCACTTGTGTACTTATCCACAGAATTGTAGAATAAAATATTTATTGTATAATTGCTGTCTATATTTTTATCAAAAACTTAAGGCTGTCACCTGATAATAGTACTTTTTTCTTTTATTAGTACAAGTGCTACTTTAAAATAACGTTATGATATACTTGAAAGAATTCCTCTGTTTTATATAAGATATTTGTGAGGTTAGAATTATTTTGACATGGCAGCAAGATGGCAGATCTCAAAAAAGGAAAATAAAATTAATAAGGAGCATGGATTTTCAGAAGGGTCAAATGGCAAAGAATAAGATTTAGTTGAGAAAAAGCAAAAGGTATCTATGGAAAACCAGGGCTTACATATAATTGAATGGTTTAAACAGAAATGATCTAGAGATATTTAGGTGTAAGAGGAAAGAATTCAGGAAGAAAAAAAATAACTAAAGCTGTATGTGGAAATAACAATTTTCACATAAAACTGTTACTATCCATTATAAAAACAAATTGTACTAACCAGCAATTTAGAAAAGTTAATTTCCCAAAAGAATAATGAACAATAACTTTCATTTGCACACGGCTTAGGTTTCAAAGGGATTAAATACATTTTCTTACCTTGAAATGATTCAGCAAAGTCAAAATCATTTGCGCTTTTCCTCTTGCTTTTATTAGAATTGACTTTGGAGCTGACTTCATTATTAAGATCTGTTACCAAAAAATGTGCCATTAAGTAATTTAAAAGCAATAGGACTGCTAGAGAGTTATGCTAAATGATAAATATTTATTACCTTTTAGAAAACACTAATTACTAGGTATTTTAACATTAAAAAGAGCAACTGGTGATTTGGGGGGGGAGGTGGAAGAGGGATAAATGGTGTTGGAAAAAATAAAAT